AAACATTTACATGGTCTTTCGTTGTTTCGTTGAGTTGTCGTAGCTGCTATGAGAATCCTTTTGTATCCAACTTGTATAGATAACTTTATTTTTCGCTGTTCGTTTTGTCCAGAAATCGACGTTATAAGTCAGGACCCCTAAGGCAACCTTCGATATCCGGAACATTGTCTGCTTCAGAAGCAAACCATATTCCTTTGCCTCGAGATTCGCTCCTCCCATTTTTCCAGCCACTTCCACAGCGAGACTACCATGGTCTCGTCGCTTTCAAAAAGCGAACCCAATCATCTCCCAGAAGCATTACTGGGAAACCTGTAAACCAAAGCACCTTCGCCACCACGTCATGACATAGCTATGGCCGTGCGCTCTTTGTGAGTAATCCACTTGCCCTTACTCCCCAACATGACCGAAATAGTAGAAAGTCTTCAGATTGAAATCCAGAATAAGTAGTTCGTACTAAACAATAGAATCCTAAGAAGGACTTTCCAAGGTAACTTACACTCACTCTAAATTATTCCTCTGTAGAATCGTGTCACGCATAGAGCCAGGGAGTACACACCTCCCACTGACAGAAAGTCGGCTTATGATTGCAAGCCGCTGGCAACCATCCAAGAAAATCTTTGTGACAAAGGAAGTGGAACGAAAGTTCCGTTGGATAACAATCCCGTCTGTTCAATTGGCCCTGTCCTTCGCTCCTGGAGTGTCTTACCCAGCGAATCTTGAGGTGTTCTATGCCCATGTTACTCCCCGTGGTCTGGCGGAGAGTGGGGCGTTTCTCAGTGTTTGTCGTTGCGAAAACATGTTGACGTCGTTTACGTATAAAATGTGCTTCCCGACCGGCGACGTCAGCTGCCGTCGTCGTTGATCGTTGCCGGCATTCATCTGTCTATTCAAAACTAACTTTCCAGCTTATCACGCTTTTAACAATGGGAGTCGAGACAATGCCCGGAGTGAGTTTTTGGAAAGTTCTAGAGTTTCGCGTGATGACCGCCAACCTCTTACTGATGTCTAAAACTAAAAGGCCTACTGAGTGTCTCTAACGATTCTTAGATTTTTGTTTGATTTTATTTTTGTTCTTAATGATTTGGTTACATTATTGGTGTGTCTACTTTGATATAACTCCCGAAATATACAGGTATCGTCCATTTTGGGCCTACTGAAGCCCCCACCCAGTCCATCAGCAACGATGGGCCCCCAGAAGGTGACGATCATTGGCTCGGGAAACTGGTTAGTTCTTTATCGCTGTCATTGGCTTTTATTTCTATTATAGGTATCTCACCTATTTCATCTGTCCATGCGATCTCAGCCCAAATTAGTTTCAATCTTGATCTTCTCCACTCATGTCCACCACTAAAATACCTGAAATGTAGTGGCCTATCTACTCGACGTCCTTGGCTCTAATCACGCCTGCGATTTCAGAAAGTTTGAAGACGGCGGGATCTGCTCATTTTTGAAGCAGTCTCACCCTCAATTAAACAAGTCGCAAATTTCTGACCCCGATTATCGGGGGTTTTTTTTGAGTTTGTGCATGCCGTCGCCCGCAGAACGATGACATGCTGACTGTGGCCACTATTTTTCAACGCTTCCCAATGATTCGGTACATAGAGAACCCATTTTATTCCCATTGGTTCTCTGGGTGAAGCAATTGCATGTTAGATGCGTAGCCTTTCACGAACATTACATACTTCCAGGCTCTCCTTAGTCTCCTTAGGCCCGATCAAGTTCTGCATTTTGCGGGAGCGACTCCAGTGGCCACTATTTTTCAACGCTTCCCAATGATTCGGTACATAGAGAACCCATTTTATTCCCATTGGTTTTCTAGGAGAAGCAATTGCATGTTAGATGCGTAGCCTTTGACGAGCATTGCATACTTACAGGCTCTCCTTAGTCTCCTTAGGCCCGATCAAGTTCTGCATTTTGCGGGAGCGACTCCACTAACTTTTGTTACAAAAGAGAAAGTGTCAAGCAAAAATGAGATAGTGTGTCCGGTATAACAGGTCCATTTCTCGCGTGGCTTAGCTTCCACAAAATGGTTCGTCCAATCGGCTACCGATTCTCGTTTGAAGAAAAAGCAAAGATATTGTATAAGGACCAAGCTGGAGACAGAGAGTTAATTATCCCAAGCCTTACTACGGCGTGAGATTATTGGCCAATTGGGTGCAATTTCACGCTTTGCCAACTATTATCAGCAAGTTGATCGCTATTTATGCCTTTCAGCCTGGTTTTATCCTTACTATATGCGCTTGCGTCTGTCTGTCTGTCAAGGAATTCGATATCATCTTAAGAGGCACCTGGAGAGGTGGGGTCAAGTTTGGGGATTTTTTGGTCACAGATCAAGGCTAATATAGAACACGTGAGCTCAGCGAAGGAGGCAAGGATAACCGAGAAGTGAAAAGTGTAGAGAGTAAGAGAGTGACAAGCCTTACCGCGACGGAGATGATAGCAAACGAAATGATGGCGCCTTTGCAGTAACGGAGTCTCTCAAAGGCTCTGTCTTCGTTCTGAAAGGATCAGTGAGCGAATCAGCTGAGCCTTGACGATGCCATCAGGTCAGTTCGGAAGAGAACTGTCTCGTCATAGCGAGTGATCTGAGTGATCACGTCGGTAGTGAACGCAGGGCCCTAAGAAGGGCTTACGGGTTTGGTTGAATAGGAGCCGGTCGGGGAGATGGTCATTGACTCGGCTGTTGACCTACGGCTCGGCGGTATGCAGCACCTTCTTCGCAGAGAAGGAAATTAAGAAGATAACTTACAGCAGTAGGGAAAAGCAATCGAAAATTGACCATATTTTTGTTAGAAGTCATATCTCGAAATTGTAACATCATAGCAAAGAATTAGCTCCGCAGCACAAGTCTCTTCTAGCAGATACAGTCATCAAGCTTCCCAAGAAAATAAGGGTGACAATGGAGCGGAAAATTCGGTGGTGGATGCTGCATAGTGAGAAGAAGGAAAACTTCAAACGAAGAATCCTAGAAGCTGGCCTACCAAATCCTCGAGGATCGATTCGGCAGACTCGGAGTAAGTCTGTGGAGGTCATCATATAGTGAGCAAGGAAACCGCCGGAGGAGGCTCGAGGTGGGCTCAGAAAGGTAGCATGGTTCGGAAACATGAAGTTTAGCGAAAAAACACAGAAAAGGAACACATAGAGTCGCTGGCAAATGACGAGCTTACAAGAAGACCTAGCTATCTACGCATCTGAAGAGGCTCGCCGAGGCTGCTGTAGCAAAAGCAAAGGGTGCGGAACTGGGCGCCCTGTTCAAGGAACTCGATGGTCGAGAAGTATAAGTTTTTCTTCCCACTGGCCCAAGCAGGCACCGGGTCACTCAAGACATCAAAGTAGTAGGGCCTTAGAGGGACAGCGACGGCAATGCTAAAGAAGCGTGACGAGATCCGACGTAGGTGGAAAAAATACTTCGACAGGCATTCAAACGAAGAATTCTAGTGTGAGAACAACCCCGAGTAAAGGCGACGCTTAGCCCCATTGCATTTTGGATAGAAGCTGAAGTCTGTAGGGCAATAGAGAAGATGAAAATTGGGAAGACAACTGGCCCTGAAGGGCATCAATCGGGGCATGGGAGCAAAGGCAAAGGGTGCAGAACTGGGCGCAAGGACAGCACCAGATCAGGGGGCTCAACCGGTTCCTGAACAGTGTGACCCCTGAAGGATGGGTACCATTAAGGAGCAGTTCTATCATCTCCATCTTTAAGCAAATGGGGGATGCGAAGAAGTGTTACAACTGCCATAGTATCCATTTGTCTGCACATACGATGAAAGTGTACGAGCGATTAGTCGACTCAAGATCGAAGAAACTTTTCACGATCTCAAAGGGTCAGTTCGGCTTAACGTCAGAAGGACCCACAATGTATGTCTTCGTCATATCTGGCTGGGTTGGAAAATCGTATGTTCTGCTTCGTGGCCTTCTTCGATCTGTAGAAAGCTTTCGACCGCCTCCCGCGACATGTCATTTGGGGTGCGCTTTGTGAACGAAACCCGGAACTACTGATTTTCCTAATGAAGGACGTGTACGATGAATCCGATACTACTACTGTACGCCTCCTCCACAGCTCTAAGCCCGTTCCTCCTCCTACTCACACTGGATGTCATCACAAGCGTACTCCTCGATGAACCGTTAAAAACCACATTTACGTTGATGACATGGCTCTGATGGCGAAGAGCAGAGTACTCCAGGACAAGCTGCAGAAATGGCAGAAAATACAAGAGGATAAGGAGCTTCGGCTAGACGTAAGACACCACGTTCCTCAGCTCCAAGCAGTATAAACGTAAACGGACTCGGGAAGGCCATCAAAAGTATGCAAGACTTCCGATACTTGAAGAGTTATCTAGCCACTGACGATAGAGTGAATCAGACTGTGGAAGCCTCATTAAATGGATAAAGTGGAGAGTGCACCGGTATCCTACGATCGATGGTGCTGCGGACCCTATAAGGAACGAGTACCGAGGCCCATAAGTAAAACTCATGAAAGGCACTTTACTACGTTGAAATGAGGATGCCAAATGAACTCGTGGTAGGACGCTACTGGACCGGATCAGAAACGAAGACGTCAGGGCGATTACGCAAAGAGCCCCTGTACAGCTGGAGATGAGAAAGCAGCGTCTGCGATAGTTCGGGCGCGTGCTGAGAATACCACAAATCACCTAATGAGGGTGGCAATGGATCTTGAGGCTCATGTTAAACAACCACGAGGAGCCTAAAAAAGCATGTGGCGAGACACGAACGAGAAGGGCCTCAGCGGAACTAAGGTAACGGCAGAAGATGCCTAGATGGAAGGAAGTAGAGGCAGTTTAAAAAATAGTGGACCCTGCCACCATGGCGGAGCAACGCAAGCGAGATGAAAAAGAAGGTATTAGCTCGAAGGAGCTTAGCCCACAAGGGGCGGGACATGCACTGGAGTAGGGCCGTGCCATAGGCAAGGCTTCCTTATTAGCTTCCAAATCAACGCAGGCCCGCAAAAAATGAGCAAGTGTGAATGAAGGGTTCAACAAATGGGACTGAGGAAAATCACCCGTGGTGGGTGGGGCCTCGTGACAGTAAGCGGCAATTTCCTCATAAATTAATATATTTCGATTCAACGAAGGCTAGAGGCCAGGAAAAATGCAATGAACTGCGTTTAATTCGTAGTCACCTAACCTATATACCCTTTCGTTCCATTGATCATCGATTTCCTCAAGTCTCCCATCTTTCAGCAATATCACCATTCGTTTCTGTCGCGAGCTAATGCGGCGTCTGAAGCTGCGCGCTGCCAATTGCGCCGCGAAGTTCAAGGTAATTTCAACGACTCTAGCGTCTATCAATTAGGCTCAAATTTTAAGTAGAGGGGTTCAGTATGGTCATCTAATCATACTAATCTACTTTAATTCAAATTTGGGTTAGGTGATAGGCACTAAAGTCGTTCTAATGGCTGCTTTCATAGTCCGCCGTCCGGCTCACGAGCGAGCGAGTCCATACTGCCGGACGAGCAGTCCCCCGGCCGGCTCGCGCGCTCGCTCGCTTTCTATAAAAGCAGCCAATCACCGTGAATTCCGCCCCGCCATTACCCGCGCGCATCCTCGGACGCACGTATGTAGCCATACCCGCGCAGAGCAGCGGCTAGCTGGCCCGCGTCCGTGGTCTCTCTTATGCGTTTTCGAATTTTCGTGCTACAAATTATCATGTCCTTATCTCCAACTGCCTATGTATTTTGATTTGTGCATTTGTTAATGTTTTTCCTGATTTTTTTTTATTGTTGACGTTTTCAGGGGTTCAGCTATAGCCCGTATTGTTGGCAACACCACCAAAAATTTCCCAAATGACTTCGATCCAACCGTTCGTATGTGGGTTCGTGACTTTTTTCACTTCTACTCGAATATACCTTAATTCTACTAAACTTGTGTTGACTACTTCCTCAGCATCATTGCACCAAACATCAAATTGTCAAAGCATCAAAATGATGGGGTGCCCCTGTTTTGTTTGTATTGTTTGGGCTTATGATCGAGCATGCGAGCACCATGCTCGATCATACTTTCTTTACTATATAAGGCACGACCGATAAGAGATCAACCACGAAATTGTGTTTCAGTTCCATTTAACATGCTCCCTCGTAGCCTGTGTCATTCGAAAGACCTCTGCAAAAAACATTTTAGCAATGACTGCCAGAGGTCCCACTCTCACAAATTCATCTGAAATGGACTGAGTTAGGTTCGGTGCAGAATGATAGAACACCCGTAGGGAGCTCGCATACCGTTAAAATTTCTATTTTGACCCGCCCTGTTCGACTGTGCTGGCTTGATACTTCGAAGAACATTCTGAAATGATGACTCTAAGCCGTTGTCGACTAACGTCATTGATCCTTAAGACTTCTCTTCCTCATCCCGCATAATAAGCAATAAGTCCATCTTCTGCGCCACCAATAGCTTCCGAGCTTCACCAATCTGATTCATTCGGGTATGTGTCACCTCATGCGTCCGAGGATGCGCGTGGCACATTGCGTGGCGGAGTTCGTAACGATTTGAGCGACTTTATCTCTTACCATTGGGGCCCATATGAAGTAGAGTAGATTAGAAGCATAATCTGACCTTACTAAACTACTTTTTTCGAGTTTGTACCCCGAAAATTGGGGACGGAATAGTGAAGATCGCAAAGAACTTCGCCGCGCAATTTGCCGCGCGCGTCTTCGGACGCACGAGGTGGCCGTACTCCAATTCACTCCCAATTCACTCCCCTCCTGCCATGATGAAGGAAATTTGTTGGTAGGAGACTTCTCAGCAAGTTCCGCACGGTTCACATGGCCCGAATTACCAGACTGCTCTCTTCACCTTCTGTAGTAAAGCGCAACATAACCTGGGATAGTCACGTGCACATAAATGCGTTGTGTTTCAGGCAGAATAACAAAAAATAAACAATAAACACTTCATGCAGTGATTGGCCATGTAATCGATTTGAGCCTTTGAAGAGAGGATCTAACCTCGGCCAATTAACGTTATCCTTCTTCTATAGCTAAGCTGTTTATGGATATATGTTACAGGTTTTTGACGAGATTGTGGGAGGTGAGAAGCTGTCGGACATCATCAATACTCGTCACGAAAACGTGAAATACTTGCCAGGAAAAAGCATTCCAGACAATGTGGTGAGTGGGCTCGGTGTTATAGATGTTAAGGCTTAAGGTTGGTTAGAAACCGGTTCTCTCTTGGTAATGATTTGGGATGGGTGCCAGAAATTGAGTGAAGTTTTTTAGTTACATTGATGTGTCCAAACGCTAACTAGATCGGTCAACGTCAGGTTATAAAGCGCTTGATGGGCGCGGGTCGACCTCATCGCTTGGGACCCTAATTTGAAAGGTATATAACAACTGTAAGAAGGGGTTTTCCTTGTACCCTTTTCGCCGTTATTAGATGACGTGTGAAGTCACCTTCTCTCTCGGAATTCCATTTTATTCTTTTTACTTACTGGGATTTGATTTTTCTCTTATCACCCGAAGCCATTCAGATTACGGCTGAATGATGCCCCTCCTTCTTATTCATAATCTGTGGTTGGTAATACCATGAGCCAAACAGACCGACAGTCACATTTTCTATCATTCCGGGTGAAATAGCTGCAGTGAACCAGTAGAAAAGGCTGAAGTGCAAAGAGGTTGACCGATCTAATCTGCCGTCTACCGTTCCTGTTGTTATTCCCGTCCCCTAATAGTGGGTGGTTTCACGGCGCAAGGGTTATACGAAATCGCACGTGCTCATGTTGGGATGATCCTGCAAAGAAGGAATAGGTTCGGTTCATTTTGGATATGTGTGTGATAGTGTAAGTAGCCTTCAGTGGTTTGCATCGCATCTTCAGGTGAACTTATTTATTGAGCTGTTTATTACCTTGCTCAAAATTCTGCTTTTGCTATTATTTTGGAATGCTTTGTTTTACGTGTGGCTATGTTTCAGGTTGCTGTACCCGATCTAATTGAGTCTTGTGAAGATTCGAACATCTTGGTCTTCGTTGTTCCTCACCAGTTTGTCAGAAGTACGTTTAAGCGGTAATTCAGAAGTCAATTTGTCCTGGAGTCGGTGAAAATGGAGTTGGGGAGTGGCACTTACTTTGGGGTATTTCTGCATCATTCTAGAGGTAGTGATCGTGAAATGAATTCTATTTGATAGATACTTTATTCACAGCTAAGACAATATCTAAGCGAAAATTCTTAGTACCCTCTCTCAAGGTCGTTTTTTCGTGTCTTGTGAGGCTTAAACAACTAGTTTCCATCAATTAGACCTAGAATGCCACGAAGCCCATAAGTTGTAAGGTGTCTAGTGCAAAGGTACCCATTGGACCACACGCTTTTAGGGCCACGTTCAAAGTACCGTGTTTGACTTACGTAATAAGGAAATCGGCTTGCTAGCAACACGTGCCCGCATTCGCTTTCCCGATATAGAGTAAAATAAGCGCAAATAGACGTGTTATTTATAGCAGCTTATCCCCATCTATGTGGGTGAACCGAATGGAGCTGAACGGGAATAACTTACCTGTGGGTGTGCAGTACAGTACAAATTTGTCCTGATTATTTATGACAGGAGGTGCATCCGTCATTAGGAGTCTTATTTGCTTTTACCTTTGAGTAATATAATTTGTTCGTTACACTTCTGCTCTCCAGTAATGCGATTACAGTGTCTTTTCTGACCACCTACCCTTTCATTGAAATCAGGACCCTTTAAAAGGACCTTCGTTCTGAAAAGAAGCACCTTGGAAGAACACCAAATCTGCTCTTTTAAAAACGAAAGGTGTAAATCAGTATACTGAATCACCTTGGTCCTGCTCCGTTTCTGATTTGCTGTGGAATAGTTTTCAGGCTTCTAGTCAATATAACTAGCGAGGGATGAATTAATGTTTCATCTTCTGAATTCTATGGGAAGACAAGCGTGTCGATGGTGCTTTATAAGCATCCCCCCTGGTTAAGTTCATTTCCAATTTCTTCGAAAAGGAGTGTGCATGGCTTTTGCTCGGTTCACCCTACCTCTGCAAATGGCGCCTGGAGTGGCGTCCCAATTCCATTTTCACCGTGAAATAGTTTCCTTCTTTATCGCAGTTTTTGTAATTCTAGAAATCTGCCATCAGCTTGAAGGGAAACTTGGCTCGGATGTGCAGGCTATCTCCTTGATAAAGGTAAGATCATGACGATCCAACTTTTTTTTNCTCGGATGTGCAGGCTATCTCCTTGATAAAGGTAAGATCATGACGATCCAACTTTTTTTTTGTTTGAAATTCGTAAGTGAAGACATGTGTGTTATGAATATGAGTATGCGAACACATACGAGACTATAAGTTACTTGATTCGTTTTTATTTCGTGAATACCTAGAGTTCTTTTTGATGTTGAATGCACTAAGTTAATTGACGATTAGTGTAGGGTTTTGTGATTGATCTGTGTAGATGTTGTACTGTATTTCATAGATGCATGTGAGGTAGTGCCTTTTTATTTAGGGCATTGCTGCAAAACCTGATCCGCAAGAGCAGGTGAAATCTTAAGCGTTTTCTTGTTGTTGTAATATTTTTTCGAATTCATTTCTTCGAGCAAGTATCGCTTACCTATGAGACAAATGTTTGAATCCAACTCGTTTCTGAATATTATGAAGAAATGTAAGCTAGTAGGAATTACTCGTTCAAGGATCACTCAAAAAATATAAGCATTGCCTGTGACAATTGAATGGATTCAAGCTTGATTAACTACTTCTATCGCCTGGAAACAATAGTCTGAACACCGTTCGGACTACCATCTCCATACATGTGAACACCGCCATAATAGTGGTGTTCATATGGAGGTGGTAGGCATTACGATATCGGGCATGTAGTTGCAAACGTTCAATTGATCTGAACTTTTGTCGAGGCAAAATGCAGTGTGAACGAGCTGATGTGAGTAGCTAGCTGCTCCAGCGTGCCCGCTTTGCTTTGCTCGTTTTTCAAAAGCAACTTACGTAAATTTTACTCTGGTTGCATACTACATTGAGTTTCATACGACTTTGCTTTTCCCCTTGTTCCTTTTCAACTCCTATCTATCGGAAATTCTATTGCATTATGAAGTTTTACTTGGATTTCCATAACTTGGCCCGACTATTTCGTTAAGACACGATGAAGACCTAAGCAAAGCAGGCATGTTCATGCGGCTTAAATCCTAGTATAAGTCATAATTCTGTGAATTATCCAAAGAAGGCATCCTTCGCTTTTCACCTATAGCTAGCGAAGCGTATTTAATTGTCCAGGCTCACTTTTTTCGCTAAATCTGGCTAAAGTGTCTGTCGTTGATTCATTTCTGCTATTGTATAGGAGTTAAACGTCTTGTTCAGTTTTCTGAGGAAATTCGAGTCAGTTCAACGTTTCAGCATCTCACATAAGCACCATACGCTTTCAGGGTTTGGCAGCACCATACGCTGAGAAACTTGGTGGCGTGAAGTTGATTTCAGACGAAATCAAAGAGATCTTGAATATTGAAGTCAGTGTTTTGATGGGAGCAAATTTGGCTCATGAAGTTGCTAACGATAGTTTTTGTGAGGCGACTATCGGTGAGCGTTCCTTGCTTATGCGAGTTTGGTTGATAGTCGTGTTTTCCTCATCGAATTCAGGCTGCAAGAAGAAGGCACAGTATGGACCTCTCCTCAAAAAACTCTTCAACAGTGACAATTTTCGTATCAATGTTGTCGAGGACGCTCATACAGTGGAGCTTTGCGGTGCGCTGAAGGTCTGTTGTATTATGCGTTCTCATCTTGCTCAATCCCTTGTGTGGCCCAGTCCTTACTTATAAGATGTGGGTCGTGGTTCAAATGTCTGTTGCAATGCTACGAGCGTACTACCATTATTTGCTGAAGACCTTTTTTCAATGTCTTATATGTGACGAGATTGGGGCATGTTTTGAAAAAAGGCTGTATAATAGAATGGAGTATGTTGTTCTGTGAGTTCTGCACCTCTAGTTTCTCATGTCCCGCTAAGGTCATTGTCAGAACCGAGTGCATGTTCTGAACTAACAGAAACGAAAGCTCAGCACGAGAATCCTGTCCCTACAATCCGGCCGTAACTTTCGGTTGGAAAGCACGCATGGTTAGGAACGCAGCCATATGCCAATCTCTTTCACTTTTCTCGTGTCCATGTCAAAGATCTTACTCGGTCTGTTGTGTATGCGACGGAACTATGATGGGTGTATTCAAATAACGTTATGGTATGGAATAAAACGTCCATGAAGTTCAGTGTTAGTTGTACTTTATTCGGCATAAGGTCTTTATGCGAACAGTGTTCCTGTACTGGTTTTCCTTCCTCTCTCAGATTATAAATTCTCTGGTCATCTAAGAATGATATCTATAATAATATCTACGTTGCCCTGCTTTTGTTTTGTGTCCAAACTGTATTTGCCACTAACTTTACTACTAAACATTTAGAACGTGGTTGCCTGCGCGGCAGGCTTCACCGATGGTCTTGGTTACGGAGACAACACGAAAGCAGCCGTCATCCGGCTAGGACTTTTAGAAATTACCAAGGTAATGTTTACTTTGAACGAAGCAGAAATTCTCCTTGTCTAAGATGTGCAAGAAGCTAATGGCTATCCTTACTGTCACCATTACTCGTTCGAAATTTTCTTTTGCAGTTTGTTGAATACTACTATCCTGGCTCAAATCTTTCAACGTTCTTCGAATCATGTGGCATTGCTGATCTGATCACTACATGCTATGGAGGCCGTAACCGGAAGGTCTGCGAAGCATATGCAAAGACGGGAAAATCGCTCGCTGAGCTAGAAAAAGAACTGCTACATGGACAAAGTGCTCAAGGTCCATTAACTGCTGACGAGGTGTACTTTATGACGCAAAGGAGTGGAGTATCGGATATGTGAGTGCTGTTTCGTTATTTTGAACTGGAACGTTTCGAAGTGTTATGTTTTGTTTCCATTGGTAAGGAAATGCTTGGATGCCACTTACCTATTCCTAGATTAGAGCCGTTTCCTGTTCTTCGCAAATCTAAGACTACTTATAAACCAGTGGCTACCTCTTGAGCCAGTCCTTTTTCAAAAGTAATTGCATATCATGGATAATGGCGTAGAGTTTTGCGTAACTGGAGTCGATGAAAGCGCATTCATTACGACCATCGCTCTTTGCCAACATTAGGCACACTCGGCAACGCTGCAGGCAAGATGCCATGGACGTATCCCTCTCCCCTTTCCGACTGGTCGTTTGAGACTGAATTGGCTAGGGTCAAACATACGTATTAGAGTGTTCATCTGCTTTTTCTTAGGCGACTATATTATTCTAATCCGTTTTCCGCTCACTCTCTACCGCCTGTATCCCTATCATTAAAGTTAACGCTAGGGTCCACGTGAACAGGAGACACGAATTTCCGGAATNGTTTCCATTGGTAAGGAAATGCTTGGATGCCACTTACCCATTCCAAGATTAGAGCCGTTTCCTGTTCTCCGCAAATCTAAGACTACTTATAAACCAGTGGCTACCTCTTGAGCCAGTCCTTTTTCAAAAGTAATTGCATATCATGGATAATGGCGTAGAGTTTTGCGTAACTGGAGTCGATGAAAGCGCATTCATTACGACCATCGCTCTTTGCCAACATTAGGCACACTCGGCAACGCTGCAGGCAAGATGCCATGGACGTATCCCTCTCCCCTTTCCGACTGGTCGTTTGAGACTGAATTGGCTAGGGTCAAACATACGTATTAGAGTGTTCATCTGCTTTTTCTTAGGCGACTATATTATTCTAATCCGTTTTCCGCTCACTCTCTACCGCCTGTATCCCTATCATTAAAGTTAACGCTAGGGTCCACGTGAACAGGAGNCCTTACACATACCTCACACACATGCACACATTCATACATACACAGACGCATGCCAACAGAGAGACACAAATACCGCTCAGGCATTGCTTCATCCCTAAATTGTTCAATCATTCGAATATCAATCAAACCCGAAATTCGTTCTCAAGTTGTATGTATTTTGGCGGCACTGCCCCAAACTCCTCTCTCCATTCCAGCTACACTTAATTCACTTTATGTGTCTGTTGGTAAGTCTACTTGCTTAGCCGGGCTCCCTTACTCACAGTTATGAAGTCGGAATGCGCGGTTGATCTTCCATTCCCTTATTCGGGTTGGATTTTTTGTGAATTCCACATTTCCTTAAGAGGGATTTTCCCATCACTCGGGCCTTACAAATTCAAAACGGTGTGGATGCGCTTATCGATTACGAAATTTCCATCTGCTTCCCTCGATCTTAACACTGACCATCCATTGAAAACTTTATCCTCCTTATCGCTCCGAGCTTGGATGCTCTGCTGCAGAAGAACAAGAACGTCATGATAGAGTTCTGCCCACGTCGCGATTTGTGTTTTGGTTCATTTCTCAGTTGACGTTTCGGCAGTAGCGCTTTTATCGGAGCCTGAAGTGGATCGAAACATTTAGCAGATATCCGATCAAACGTCTACACAACCCTAAAACGGAAGATCGAGAACCCCAGGACACTCACGTAATGTGGATCCTCAAAATCGTCCAGCAACCGATAGTACGACCAAGTCAGCTGAGCTTGGTCTTCATCGAAATCTGTAGAAAGGACAACCTTACATAAGGTCCCGGTTCCCGCATGATTGTGAGGCATTCCACCCTCCGGCTCATTTTTGGATTTGCGGCCTGTATCAGAAGTTTCTCGAGAGTTTGCGATTGCGATTCCTGGCCACGACCTCCATGTTGACCTCAAAATGGCCCCTCTGTTAGCTTTGAATGAGGTGGGCTCCTAAGGCGGTAGATTCTCTAAATGTTATCTGGTTGCTCCTAAATTCTCAAGTAAAGTGGTTATTAAAATACTTATACCGACTGTCACGGCAAGTGATCTAGAAGAGCACAACTGACATAGTAAAGCCCCCTTCCCTGTCAGTTGGACATAACACACAATTTGTGGTGGTACATGGGCGATCATATGGCCGGTTACGATCCAGGCGTTTCTTCACATTGAAGGGCGGCACGTTTATAATGGCAAGTCAGTTTTCCGGACTCGCCCTCTTGAGAAGTTCCCTATTGGCTCCATCAGAGATATTTTGACTATGGAATAACAGAACGCCAGCAGTCTTATGCCTCTGGCCCTTCCACAGTGATTTCGATGAAGACCAAGCCCAGCTGACTCAGTCCCACTATCGGCTTCTGGGTGATTTCGGGGATCCACGAAGTTATGGTGTATGGCCCTTCTCCGGTTTACCTACGTGGCCTTACGAACTTCCGTTGGGTTGTAAAGACGTTCGATCAGGAATAGCAGGCCATACCGCCGAAACATTAGCTAATGAATTTTAATAACATCCTCATGAGAGTTCAAAACTACATCAAATTACCACTGCCGAGGTTATGGATGCCTGTATGTGGAGACTATCCACTTCACCTTTGTCTACTTATCGCTCCTTAAGAAACTGACGAGTCTTTATATGGTTTTCTATAATAAGTTATAACCGAAGGCTGAATCTCTTGACGCAATCAGGAAGACCGTTCTTGTCCATTGTAATGTGCCAACCCGACCACCAATGAATGCCCCATTGCATATAGGCATGCTAAAACTTTCATTCCACAAATTGTGTTTGACCCTATCATCTCGACCTCATTCTATTTTTTTTCAGGTTCCCACTCTTCACTGCTGTGCACAGGATATGCCGAGGGGAAATGAAGCCTTCTGATATGATCTCTTGTCTACGGTCCCATCCAGAACAAGTGTAAAGGTTTCCTAATAATTGTATATGACCAGTCCTTTATTATGTTGTACTATCTTGTGTTTCAGTAAACATCCTTACTTAGAGATAAATTATTTGTGTTCACAGAAAGCCGCTCAAAAAATTTTCATTCAGAGCGGGCTTTTTAATATCACTTGTGTAGTATGCACAGCATTAGCATTGCGTATACCTCGTTGTATATCTGTTGTGTGGCGTATTAAAAAGTTCTCCTTTACATTTTCTTGTGTTGTAGTAGGTCCATGCCTAATAATATGATTTTTGCCAAAGACTGATGAATTGCTTCGTTTTTTTTTTCTGTGATAACGTTGTTATCTGCATCTGCATTCCTTCATTGAAAAAGTCGTTAGATCCAGCCTTTCGCAGCCGCCTCGACATGCTACTCTTTTGCTTCAACTGCTAGTCAAAGGCACAGTTCACGATAAAAATGGTTTTTGAGATTCCCCTACAGGATGAAATTGAGGCCCCGCGTATACCATATCCGGCACTCTTATATCGGAAAACGGTCTAGTTAGGGAGTTATAAGGCTCAAAGATTGACCTGTGTGCGAGCGTGTTTCACCGGCATTGTAGAGGCTGCACCGATAGCAAGGGAACCCATGTAGGAAGTTCAAACAACTTGTCATGACCCATAGCGACAGTTAAAGACAGTTCTGTACAGTTCTGGCGAGGCAGCCAGCTCTTTGTGCAATCGTAATAACTGAAATTTCGTCCGAATACCCCTTCCATGTTATTTCTTTCATGGCAATCTCGTCCAACCTCTATTTTCCCTACTTCTGAGCAGCCATATTTTCCTCGAAGTCGGCAAATTTTCTCGCTTTCTTCACTATCGATGAACTATTCCCAATTTATCTTCCGCTTTTTGAATAAAAACGGGTACGTCGAAATCATCGTGAATGTGCCTTTAAACCCCCGCTCATATAAGAATGCAATTGAAAGTCTTCATCGGCTGAATCTTTGAGTTTGTTCCTGCGCGCGGATGCTTGGTTACAGGCAGAGCTGATGGATGTCGTTTGACGTGGCTCCTCTTTTGTTTGGTTTGTACGTGTATTCAATTCTACAGAATGAAATGCATGTGTATACCCAAACAAAGAAAGATGACGTCAAGCGACATGGATCAGCCCTTGAATGAGTTATTGTCCTATAGAATGCTTCGCGGGCATAGTCGGTTGAGAAGTGCTGCTGCTTTTAAGCAAGCCTGATGCTAATTTGTTGGCCTTGGGTAGACGGAGAAGGTTCTCCTGAGCGATACCGACCTAAGCTTTGACCTATGGGCAATACGAATGGTAACCGTGCTTGCTGCTGGCTCCCACTTCTACCCAAGTACGAATTTCCGCTGTTGGTCATATGGCTCCCGACTTCAGGTTTTTCTTTGAACCTCTTTCATTGCAAACCACTCGAGCACGAGTTTTCAGTTTTATCCTATCTCAGTATAGCATTCTGTTCTTATTATCTTGAGGTAATTCGATCTATAGGAAGGAGTTTTGCAGCGGTAACAACGACTAATATTGAAGAAGTGGGGCTTATTGGTAGATGATCAAATGGAGTAGGTAGCTGCTGTATTTTACCTTGTATTGCCCACCCAATTTCTTACGCAGTGGTGATTGAAACACTCAGTTGATAAGTTGCCGAATCTGCTTTTGAGTGGAGTTGGGCAAGAGGGTAACCGCACGGATGAACTTAACGCTAAGAGACCTGTTCTTTTTCATGCTTTCCACAAATCGCAATATTTTTCCCATATATAGTAAGAACGCTCCTACTAGAATGGTTATTTCATTTTCCAAATGAAACAACTTTGTTAAGAACTTCGTTATTTTATACCTTTAATCTGTTTCAGTTTATCCTTTTTAGCCATTTGATGAAGACATATGAACAGTATCGCAAATTTGAGTTTTTCACCGATTAGGGTCCATCACACCGATCACGACAAGTTCAATAAGGGCAATTGTCCTCTTCTTCAAGTGTACAACCCTCACTGAAATGAGACAGACAACGAGTTTAGCCACGGCTGAAGCTTCAGCTACAAAGGGACTGCGCTATATGTGTATGTATATGCATGTATATATATGTATGTATATGTACCAAAGGGCTCTGCAGGGAAAGGTCCACGGATGAGCCGCGGGTGTGGTGCAGTAGGAACGAAATTGTCGCGTCGCGGCAAGAGAGACGCCGCGCGAGAAGTAATGTAGCAGAATGCAGCAGCAAGTAAGAAATACAGGAACAAAAGAACTAACAGTAAAATCATGCCAAAAGTATCATCGCACAGCGATCGATCTGTATGAAGAACGCTTCAGCCGTAATAACGGCGAAACGAAATTCGCGACAGCCGCGTGCGGCGAATCCACAAAACCGTTCCCACTGCCCGTCTCCCAGGAGCCACTCTGGAAACCAAGAGTTGAAATCAAACAGTTTTTGGAGAAAGTTGGTCGATCTGATTTTTCTACAATAAAAGCAGCAAAACTCTGGGATATTTCAAATGTTTCTGTCAGAATGATTTCCTGTTCCAGACTGATTTTTCCTGACCCCTATATAATCCTAATACCGTACAAAAGCGGACATGGTTTATCTCCATGGTCTGTTGCAACCAAACATACGGTTTGGTGGTCGAACGCCAGATCAATGCAGAGCAGGACAGCAATCTCGCCAAGCTGGATAAATTACTATCCCCAGACATTTAGAAACATAAAGGTCTCAAAAGAGCATCCGCTTGCCTCTCTTTTTGGCCAAATTCGCATCCAAAGGTGATTTCTATTCTGAGTGGAAGTAGAAAAAGTGAGCTGCACCAGAGCGAGAATTCAACAATAGTCAAGAACGTTTTTTGTCGTCATTTGTTTTCCAAGGATCCCAAGGATTTGTCTTTCCTTACGTCTACTCGATTAGTGAAGTTCCATTTAAGGTATAAGGAATGGCAGCAGCAGCCTAGTGGAGGGCTCTGTCTGCTCTCAGAGAGAACACAAGTTCGATCCCCGTCGTGGCAAAACAATGCCTTCCAGGAATGGCGTCGGTACCAGCGGAATGCCTTGGCTGACTGGCTGGCCAATGAATAACACCGTCACCCTAAATGTGATGTAGAGGTTGATAAGGAATCCAGTCGTGAAGCTTGGACTTCACTCAGAAGAAGCGCACAGGTCCTCCACGAGTTCTGTGGTCAGTATGCAAGGGAACTCGAGAAGTCAACGGCCTCGGTTCTCTGCTCTCAAGCGACATGCTGGAAAGGAGAAAGGTAGGTTTCCTTTCCTTTGATTTCCCGACGTACTACACATGGCCGGGAGGATTAATTTTCGGCGACGAGGAGTGTGTTCTCTACGTAAACCTCTCGAGAAAGCGTCAGTGGCTTACACTCCTAGAACATGGAATCGCGACCCATTAACCAGCACTCCTAATTAAGAAGACAATTTCGACTTTCGCATCGCATACTGCGGCGATATTACAGCAGTTAACAAAACACCAAGTCAAAATAAGAAGGCAATGCTCAGCGTTCGGAGCCATTCGAAAGGCTCGCTCGCTTGGACTTGCCGCCACCAAGCACCGCTCTCAGCACTGAAGCCTAGTGTATCCTGAAGGATAGACGTCCTGCAGCTCTACGAGAGAAACAGTGAAAGTCCACTATTTTCCACGACAATGCTCGCTTACCATTGTTAACGAGATACAGAAGAAACTACAAAGCTTAGGATGACATATTCTAACCCACCCACAGTATTCAACAGAACTGGCTCCAACAGTGTATCACCTGTTCTTGTCGCTGTCAATTATTTTCAAAAATTCGTTTATGTGAACCAACTCGAGACATGCATCGGCAAGTGTTCTCCTCGAAACCTCAGGAATTCGATGCGAGTGAGATCCACAAGTTGCCTGATAAATAGCAACATTTTGTCGATGATGGTGGGCATCAACTTGATAATTGGTAGCTGCTATGAAGGAAAAATCGAATTCGAAAAAAATTGCAAAATGTGCAAAGGCTTTCCCGAATACCTTATAAAATATGAAAATGAGTAACAGGTTCGGTTTTGTCACAAATTTTTCAATGCCAGGCAATGACCAGTGGGATGAATAGAATGAAAGTGTAATGTATTCATAGCACAGAAAATTTAGTGGAACAACACATTTGGATAGTGCCAGAAAAACTTTGCTCGAGTTTTGTTTTGCATAGGATTCAGTCTCTAACGGCACGAGAAGCCAGAGCTTCTAAAGGAGACGTTCAACGAACGTGGGGCGCCAGCTTAGTGATACTGGAATACAGAAAGTCCTGCTGCTTTTTACTTGATCCAGTTCTGAGACAAATGAACCTGAGTGACTCCTCATTAAATTTTTACGTTTGCCAACCCAATGAGAATCGATAAGCTTCCAAATCAGCATGAGTGGTTTTCATAGGCATGCTGGTACCTGAATTCCGTAACATTGGTGCAGTGCTGTGTCGCTGAAATAATCGTGCTGCATTTCAGATAACGATGTCTCAGAACGATGACTGTGATATGCTTGAATTGACAGCGTATTACCGTGAGGTGGTGCGTCGAATGATGTATTGCAACGGGGACCTTGAAGATCCGCTTTCGTCATGCGTTGAAATGGTGTTGGACATGGTGAAATATCAAATGATCAAAGCGCTTGAAGATGCTTGGCAGCATGCTTCTAGTCAACAGAGGGAGACGATCACGCTAGAAGACGTGTTGTTCCTATTCAGAAAGCACAAATTTTTGCTGAAGAGATTGCTACACTTTGCTGACACTGCCGAAAAAATTAACGAGTTGAAGCGGACGGCTCCGCAAACGGCGAAATTGGACGAGGAACCCGACCTAGAGAACAGCATGGATGACGACAACATTTCCGCGGTGGTGAGCACGAGGTCAGTAACTAGCAAGTTCTTTAACAGTCTAGCAATCGTATAATTTCGTTATAGCGTGCCCGACTCAAACCTGGCTCGGATGCTCAAGTACGTGAGTTCACTGGATTTTGCAGAGAGCGCAGAACAATTGTTAGTAGCACTTGATAAGGAACTCGAGGGTAGGCAGCGTCGAATTGCTGATATTGTTATGAATGAGCTCTCTACGGAGGAGTACTCTCGATTTACTGCTGCGCGCTCTGCCACCTTCCTTGACAGTTGTAGTAGAAACTCGAAGAGGTAAGCTACCTAAACTTGCAGTTTAGTTTGATAGCATTTGACAGAACTCTTTTTGGTTATAATTCTTTTATATTTTGAGGATCCTAAATTCGTACAAATTGCTTAATTAATTGGCTTTTTCCCGTTGTAGATATTTGTGTTCATAACTATGTTCTCAAGAACTAAAGCAGTCAAAAACTCTGCTCATCAAGCTCTAGAAAATGATGTTTGAAAAATAGAAAAAGCTTCATAATTTTACAGCTTGTTTTCGAGGCATCTTTTCATTTTGAAGGGTAGAATCTTTGGGCATAAATATTAGGAGTTTGGGCCGACTGAGGGATGCGCCCACCCTTCCGACTTCCAAGTCGGTGTGGCGTATTGAGCGCGTATGTCACCTATACAATGACTTGTGGTGGCCAGCTGATCCACAAGTCATTGCTTTTATTCTCCCAGACAGATCCAGAACCAGGTGAATCACTTTGAGGGATAGGAGGCTTGTTGGCCTAGGCGGTTGTCCGGGATTCGAACCCGTGACCATGCTTGTGTGGTGGTGCGCCACTTGCCACGACACCACTTCCTCCCTACTACAAACTATAAAAGGAAATATGCACCGGCCCATAGTGCTGTTCGTGTTAACACTGCGATTTTGGTTCATTGGCACATTTGTGAGCTCCGGATGGATTAAGGATAGTGCCCTTATTCCGTCCTTAATTAGCATTGCTTGCTTCTTTTACAAGTTCATGGGAATACTCGGTATCGACAACATCGATGGTGAATACTCCAGCCGTGCCTTTATTGCGTCGATTAGACCGTGTGGAGTGCGTATTGCTGTTGTACACCCATCGTGCATGCTTTTAAACAGGGAGATCAGTTGTTCTGAAACGTTCCGCTCTCAGAGCGCTCTCCAAAGGTTATCGTGGTAGACGACGAAATGCCTTCCTCAGATCGAACAAGCTTACGTATCAGTCTATGCTTTGCGCGATACTTCTTTATCACCTGTCTGATTATGAGTACAGCATCCGTTGTAGACCTTTTTGGCAGAGATATGAACGAGTTCCCTCTCTAGAGCCGACTAACCGCTCACACAATTTCGAGTAACCTGATCCCGCGTTAGTTGGAATACGCCATCTCGTCCCTCCTGTTTCAATATGGGAACGACGGTGCTGTTTCTCAGGTATCTGGGCTCTTCCTCATGGTCACATTGTTTGACTTCTCCCCTGCTCTGCGAGCGCCTTTCATACTTCGATGAGAGGTCCTTTCGAACCAGCTGCTTTTCCGGCGGTCTACCTTCCAAATGCTCTACGCACCTCGTCCTGTGTCTAGGGTGCGATGAGACCGCCGTCGTTCTATTCGGGGCTGTCCTCACGGTGGAAGCCTTCGTTTATAACTTGCCGAAGTATTCTTTCCCCTATACCTGGCCTCACCAGGCTTCTTCAGGATACCCTACCTGATCTTAACGAACATCGCTATCCCGATGTATTGAGTAGCCCGGTGCTGGGAAGACAAACTTTTCTCTTCTCAGCCATCGAATTTCTCGTTCAAGGCGTTCATTTCCGTAATCTTTGCTTTCGCTACAGCAGCCTTAGTGAGCCTCTTATAACATCTGTTGGCAGCTAGGTCTGGGTGCTTGTAGGCTGCGTTCTTCTGCCTCACAACTCGCTGAACTTCATCGTTGCTTCCTTGTCTCCTCGGAATCCACCTCGAGTTTCTCCCAGCGTTTCTCTCGCACACTGTTGTATAACGCTAACAGAGTTGCTTCAAGTCTGCTAGCTTGGTCCTTCGAGATCAGAGAGACGAGACAGTATCTTCCACTTGAGTCCCTCTTTTTCGGCTTGGTGCGGCTTCCACCATCGGATCCTCCGCTCCGTTCTAGTCCTTGATTTCTTGATTATCTTTTGGATATGTCTACTAGAAGAGGCCTGTGCTGCAAAGCCAACTACTCGCCAGCCGTACCTTGATGCCCTTCACGATTCGGAGAATGGTTCTTCTCACGAGAGGTGGTCTATTTCAGTTTCTTTCCTTCAGCTGCGGTGGGTCACCTTCTGAGTCTTCCTTCTCCCGAAGAAGCTATAGACTGCTGCCAAGTGAGGAGCTATGGCCAGATTAAGGGTGCTCTATTTTTTTTCGTTTATGACTCCTACTCCTCTACCTCCATGTATCCTTTACATCCCCTTTTTCCATTGCCGATGTGCCCTTCCACGCCTATGATGAGATAGCCCCTTTCCGGAACTGATCTGATGGCATTGCCGAAGCTCAGATACAACTCACCTTTTTCAAACGTGAGGCAACTGGCTTGTGGTGTGTACACGAGTATTATTGTCCACTACCCCGCTTTCCTGTCTATCCTCAAGACTATGATTCGACTGCTCATCTTGTTAACGACGGAGACAGAGTATTTTAGGGACTTCGCCACTGCTATGGCCTTACCATGTCGTTTCGCATTGTGTATGTTGTAGTAAAACTTGACACCCTCTCCAACTTCTCTGATCTTTGTTCCTTTCCAGCGGATCTCTTGAAAGCATGGCTAGGACATCACCCAGAAATGGCATACAAGAATCAAAGGGGGGGGGAGGGCGGGGGGAGGCTGTGCGCCGTTTACGGGTGACGTCTTCTAAGTGGAGACATTGGTCTACACTCTTATTCACATTTATTCCACACTCTTATCCACTCGGCAATCCCTGCCTCGAAGCCTAAGCATTAGCTAGACACGGAAAAATGGGAAACTTCATTCCCTTACGGAAGGCGACTTCCTGAACTCTGCCAACGGTGGACTCTCCATAGGTTTTGTTATGGCGAAACCTGAGTTACAGGGGAACACTTTCTTCGAGTTCCCTGTTCTTTCAAAAATAACTATCTCCGTACACTTGCTTCAGATCCGTATATTACTTTCACGCAAGTTTCCCGAGTAAATATTGCAAGCAGGTTCGAAAATACCAAGTCAAAAATAACCAGTTTCATCTAATACAATTTTTAGAATCTTGGGAGCAGTGAGACAACGTTCTGAATATTTCTTTGTTTGCTGTTTGCTGTTTTGCCGTTTGTCAAGAAGTTTTGCTGTCCTTCAGAAAAAGCCCCTGCAATCTACTGAAATGGCTAGGTGCTCCAGCCTGCGAGCCTGCTGTTCCCTTCGTTCTTGCGTTCATCGGTCGTGAAGTCGTTGCGTATTACGTCAACGCGGCTTGTCTCATCATGAGAACTGAGCAGCGTGATCTGTTTCTCAATGAAGTTCATGATGGCCACATAGCCTCGAAAGACGATGCTTGTCCATTGCAGGTGGGCCCTCGATCCAGGGTTTGTTCTATTACTTTTTCGTCCAATTGCTACATTAATCTTGCCAATTTTTTGAGAAAAAAGAGCAAATATAAAGGAAGTTTCCAGGATTTCGGGTAATTGGTACTAGGAATTTGGCAGAAGTATTTGCTGGGCCCTACAAAGTCGGCCTACACATAAACAGTAAAAGTGATGCATTTTACAGTGTTGGCTCGCACATATGGAGCAAGCGGTAGCTAGTGTGGTAGCGGCTCTATTTCTTTCTCGCTCTTCTACATGCTATACTTCACGCTTACTCTATAACCTGAAACACACGTGAAATGGTTGTGGTGAGCCTAAAAATATCGTACAGATATCTCAGAAATAGTGGGATGCTCCAAAGGTGAGTGTAGAATGGGACCAACCGATCGGTACAAATAAGGGAAGTATAGTGAACCGCAGCTTTAAGCGAGCGCTGCACACTAACGCAGTTTCAAACACCACACGTTGTTTTATATGGGATGGCTCGTGGGTAGAGTATTGAAGAAAATTTTCTGAGGTGTTAGGCATATTTTTCATCATAGGGTGTTGGTGGTGACAACACCCTATGATGAAAAATATGCACTTATAAACTGTGGTACCCGACACGGTGGCGTAGTGGTAAGAGCAGGTCAACAAGTCGTGCTTACTTATTGTTAGAGTGGAACTGTTAGAACTGTGAACGACTTTCGAATTTGACGCTCGCAGTGCTTAAGTATTAGGTAGGCCAAATGTCTCCATATTATTTCGTTTATGTTTCAACATAGCCTCGGGGAATTGGTGAACACCTCTTCAGGAGAGCATACTGTCCTGGCGCATACAACGGTACATTAGCAATCAGTGAATGATAGGATGTGCAATCAAATTTCCACTGAGGGGTGTCTGATTGGGATTATCGTCTGCACATACCACGTAGTACGACTTTGAAGGGGTTATGGCAGCTTCCACGGAAGAACCTAATGCTGGTGTATGGTGAAATAAATGGAATCGATTTTTATTTTTGAGTGTTGAATGTGGATCAGACAACTACCGCTGAACTACACGCACCGCAGCTAGCCTTTACCAAGCCTTGCGTTGTCAAGAGGTCAAAGGCTTATATGAAATTCTTACTCGACAACACAAGACCTCATACAAATAAAACATCTCTCCCTTCCAGGCATTTCCCCTTTCTGCACGACACTTCACATCCTCGTTTTCTTATTATTCCTCCATACCCAACCTTTGTCAAATGATATGTAGTCCACATGTAGGATCAGAACATATATGTAAATCCTCCAAAGTCTGCACATGAAGAAGTGAACTGGCGATCGAAACGTAAGAGGTATATGATTAGGTGTAGAGTGTTGTGAACCAGACTTCACATTTGCTATTCCAAACACAAAGGAGTTCTAGGGTTTGTAGAGAAGAATGGGTGAACTGTGGGGTAAGGGCTCCTCCCGTTTTGCTTGGTTTTCCCGTGCCCATTTTAGACATCGATTTTGGGTTAAAGCAGTTTTTAAGTGTGGTTCATAGATACAATCATTGTAGAGGGTCGCTTGAAGGAGACATCAGCGTGTCTATCCTCTCACATTAATCTGGTGCCAATTAATCGGCTCTCTATAAGTGGATGTCTGGTCGAACCGCGCGTGTGATAGCGTGTCCCCTGGCGCTACCCCAATTCTATCCCAAGATATCTTGGTTATTTCACAGTGCCGACGTATCCTTGATGGACCCTGCGTTTTATGTCTAATTTTCTAATGCTTTCATGCTATTTCTTTATTAGTGTGATGTGGGCAATTATTGCTCAACTGGGTTTTTAATTTGTTTTCTCACCATGCAATCTGAATTTGTTCTTTTTTTACATTCTCTAGTAATCTGTTACATATGGTGATCGCAGTTTTAGATGCGCCATTATGAGGAGGCTCGTCGGCGTTGCGTCGGTTGGAGACGTCACCGAGATTTCTTGTTCGGATATTGTGATGAATATGAAGATTGAATCGAAACTGAATGGCAATAACAATGAAGTAGAGTTAGCCAGGCGCTGTCCTACTCAGAGAACTTCTTGTGCTCTTCTTCATGTTTCTGTGTATCTTATCTGAAATGTAGATAGTTTCTTGTACAGAAGTGAAGTTTAATGTTTGTTTACAGCTTAAACACAATTTGCTGGACAAGAATTTCTTGAATGAAAGCATGATATGCATTAGCAGCCTCGCAGAGGTGATGGCCAACTTGCTAAGCCTGTTATCTCTTCCGCCGTTGACTTTTCACGCACATCTTCAAGCGAAATTGCGAGATAGAATTAGGTGACGAAGAAATGCTAGGTCGCGGGATTCATAATACGGTCCACTGTATGTCTTTGAACGCTGAGCTTCGATTTCCTACAGATGTATGAACGGTTCTGGGAAGGCAGAGAAGCCTTTTCTCTTTGTGATTCCGGCGCGCAGGTGAACAAATCGAGCACTGGAAGTGGATTCCTTCTGATAGGCAATCTGCAAGGGCTGAACTCTCTTGAAAAGGCGCATTGATTACATGCGATGATCTCTTCCTCTTTATGTGTTTATTCGAAGAGCAGCAAGCAGCAAAACATTCTGTAATTTCATTTCAAGTGTGTGGAATGAAAGCGCATTCTTTCCGTGTGCAGAAACGAAGGAGTCAAGGAAATGAGAATTCCATCTGGAAACATTTATGTTCTCTTTACTCGGTTCGAGCCCTTGACATAATGTAGGAGAATAAATATTTACACTCAGTAGTACGATGTGAAAACCTTGTTCACCTAGGTGTACATTGATATTGTATGGAAAACTTGGAAGTTGTTTTTTACATGCATTCTTTTACCCACGGAGTGATCAGTTGATTCCGACTCGTCGAACTCTGATGAATGTGAAGAGAAAGAGGCAAGTAGCAAGAAGAAGGGAGGCCTAAAACATTTCAAATTTAATTGTACGCTAATCGCGGAAAAGCACCTTGGCTCTAGTATTGTCTGCTCTACTTATAGGCGTGGGAAAGAGATATGGCTATGGTACAGCACCAATACTCATCTGAAACTATCTCAAAGATGCCTCTATTCAGAAGTCATGAAATGTTGCGGCGTGCTAGAGGGTTAAAGGCACTTGTAGTTTTGCATCTGTGCCTTCCACATCGAATGATGTAAATCGCTGAAGGAAATCAGTTGTGCCAACATTCAAACCCGTTTGCATGGTTTTTTACGCAGTAGAGGAATCCGCATTTCTTCAGAGGCGATTTCACGTGTGACAAAAGCTTGCCTCTACACTCATAAAATCTAGGTGTGTTGCTGTATGCTCATCACACCTGCTCGAGACAAAACGTTTCCGCAGGTAATTTATGTGACTGTGACTCCCTCTTAATTTCAACATCGAAACACGTTAGAGATGAATCGCCTCGGAATAGTAACGTTCAAAAGCTCAACATTGTTCAAGCAACTAAAAATGCGTGGAGGGAACAGTTCGTTAACAAGTTTTGTGATTTGTGCATGGTGCGTCTCTACAGGCATTCAGATATGAATTCACTGTCTCAAGATTGAAAATGCTATAGAGTGGTAGATGAAAAAAATCGACAGGCAGATCAGGAAACACTGCTCTTATACAATTGAAGAGTCATCATGCATCAAATCATATAACAATCATATAGCCCCTCTATATTATAAAAAAAAAAACCGGGTAAATCATATGCAGAAACAGTCTGCCCTAGGTAAGTGCAATGAGCGTAACTGATCGCCTAAATGAAGCGCCTACTTGAATAAATATGCTGGAAGCGCGAACTCCTGTTTTTCTTTCCTTTTTTTACAGCTATTATACAAGTTTAGCGTTTGTTTGTTTGTTTCTCGTCTAAAAATGCTTTGTTGTGGCGCACCATTGAGTGCACAAATAAATAAATAAACAAATACCGAAAAATGTTCTGAAAGCTTTTACTTGAATAGAGCACGCTGTGCAAAAAAGTTGGCGACGGTGAGGAGTAACAACGACGCTTGCTGTCTCACCTGGGGGACGTGCGATTCATGCGATTTTGGGCGCGCGCGGCAAATTGCGCGGCGAAACTCACGATGATTCAAACAACTCCGGCGCCTCTCACTGGGGCACAAACTTGAAGTAGAGTACTTCAGTAGGTTCGGACAATCCTACTAACCTAGTTTACTTCGAATTTGGGCCCCAATGATAAACGCTGTAGTCGTTCGAATCGCACCGGGTTTCGCCGCGCAACTCGCCGCGCGCACCCAGAATCGCACNGGGTCATGGCAAGTTGTATGAAATTCTTACATGGGTCCCCTTGTGATCAGTGCAGCCTCTACAATGCCAGAGAAACTCGTCCGAGGATACACACGGTGCAATCTTTGAGGCTTCGTAACGCCCTAACTAGGCCGTTTTCCGACCTAATAGCGCCAGATGTGGTATAAGAGAGGACCTCGAATTCAACCTACGGGAAATCTCAAATCATTTTTATCGATAACTGTGTTTTTAGACATTCTTTAACCAACGTCATTATATGGCTTACAATCCTATTGAGAAGCCACAAGATTCTGTCGCTTGGCACTCCCCACACAACTAATAATGGGCCAAATTTCAAATGTATCCGGTGTTGTAGATAGCGCTTAGTTAGAATAGAGCTAATGGGTCTTTATGAGGCTATAAAAACTGGACAGTTCTATCTATTTTGAGTCTACTGATCAACCGTTCAACAACATCTGCAGATCTAGCTACACTCAACAATATGATTGAGGCGACTACACTGTAATGATAAGCTTTCCTCAGTCACGTGACAGTAAACAGAGGAGTCACTAAGATAGAGTTCGGTTATGGCTCGATCAAGTGTTTGAGACATAACGACGTACCCACTACCTTTATCACTGACCGTTATGCGTGACGTTCCATTCAATCTTAATTAATGGATTAATGCTATTAGGAATATTCAAGAGCAGTGAATGCTCCAAGTAGTATGTCTGACAGCTATTAGTTCAAAACAGGTTATACGACAAGCAGTGGCCAAAAATATTGCATCATGTGCCTCTACGGAAAAACGGGTGATTGCGCAGTGATAGGCGTGATCTGCCAGATGGAACGCCGAGGATGTCGATCAAAAAACATAGGAGAAACGGAAAGACAACTAGCTATAAGAATTAATGAGCTCTCAGCTAGTATGAGGCGTGCCACCCTGATAACGGTGCTTGGTAGGCATAGAATTAAGGAGTACAGCGGCAACAGCTTTGAAGTGAAGCGCACGATATTAGCGCAGCAGACGGAGATTTGAGCGAGAAAGGCATTAGAGGCTTTTTGGATTTTCCAAAGAATTCCTAAAATTAGCGGTAGGGATGAGTGCCCATCCTTAACAAATGTTCTTTTGCCGTATTTCCGCACTGCAACTTGTGACTCAGCAGCATTATAACGTGATCTTCCTTATCACAACTGTAAGGGAGACAGCGAGAGGTCTCGTTCGCTACTGAAAGTCGCCTTTGGCGACAGCGAATTTCTATATTCGCTTGAGCGGTGGATTTTTGGTGAGGAACTCCTACGAAAACTCTTACGAAAGTGGTATCAACATGTTGATGGTAAAAAGTAGAATATAAATTGCTCACCATGTTCGTCCACGGTCCTCCTCTTGATTCCTTTGGAACTTCAAAGTAATGAAGAAGAAGTGTGAGCATGCATCCGAAGGCCAGCACAAAAGAAAGCGTATATATTAGCGTATAGGTTCCCCATTGAATACGACCATCGATGAAGAAGACAATTACCAGGAGGCAACACACCTTAACGAAATTCTTGTTAGAATTCAACAAAGCAAACCGTGTGATTGTAGTGGGTAAATATGAAGAATTCATGTGAATCGCGTACATTTATTTGAAGCGTTTGAAGTGCGCTATTTATGGAGAAAGCTTTATCAAAGGGATTGCCTGTGAAACAGGACCTGTGATTGAAGAGACCGCTTCTGCTGTGTCAGACAACTTTCGCTCAGATTCCCTACTGCGCATGAATACTTAGGGGCCAGGTGCAGTATCATTTGGAAAAACTGATAACCGATCTACACATCGAAGCTCGTTTGATACTTTTTGACTCTCAGTATCTTCTCGAAAACACATGCTCTAGGTTCAGAACATAAAAGAATCTTGGCAAGGTTTGTCATTTGCGGCTGCAGAGACCATAATCGGCGCTATCTTTTTACTTTTGCTCAAAACCTCTGCGCAATGTAGGGAGGGGGTGTTTTGATGAGGAATCCCGCATAAGCCAATGTAGCTCAATTGGAGTCACCACGCACTTTGATGCGACGTGCCAAATCACACCCCCTTGCAACAGTTCAAGACAACATGAGACATTAGCAAGGCTTGAAAGATGAGGTGCCATATACACAAGAAAATTCAACTGATTCTCATCAACAGCGATACCCTCCTAAAGTAGATGTGAGCTTCTTTGTTTTTGTCTCAGCTCTATTTGATGACGATTCCAGTGCACATGTAATCGACGAACGAAAGTTTCGAGGGACAGGGTGTGAGGATTGCATTAGAGATGCGTCTTGTCGCTCAGAGGGTTTTCACAAACACATAAACAAATTTCACATTGGAAGCTGACGTATGTTTAGCACGTGATGATCCTCACACATTGTTTTGGCAGGTAGTTGACGATTGGTGATCATCTGTGTATGAACGAGAAATGAAGTAGAAGGCCTAGGCAACATTTGACGTTTATCATGTTCTCCCAACACATCCTTGCTCCTTATCACCATGCAAGAACTCGGAGGCATGCGCATGGGCTAAGTAAGGCTACTACTTAATGCTTTTTCTAGCGCGCCATTCGACTCTCGGAAAAATGCTCGACTCTTTTATGTCGATAATCCCTTCCGAAGTTCTGATTCCAGCCTGAACTCTAACGAAATCCTGTAAATAGGTTCGAAATGGCCCAAGAACACGATTAGAATTCATGACGTCCAACTTCGAGCATACACAATATCAACCAACTGCATCTCTTCTGTAAGGTTGTCTAAAACATGTATTTTGCTTTGCCACATGTTTTACATATCACCTGTGCACGAAAATCCCAGTCCTCGAGGATGTATCCATCGCCCAAAGGGTCACTAGCATACTAGATACTTTTCGAAAATTTGATATGAAGTTCTTGTAGAAGCGAGGAACATACTAGCCCACTGCTCAAGGAAACGCAAGGTTTGAGCCTCGAAAAGTGTAAAAAAAGTCACGTTATTGGGAGCAAACTACTTTCACGACGCCCCCACCGTTGCTCTCCACCCGGCGGCCTATGGCTTCTTAACACAGGTGTTCCAGCCAGTGGGTATTTCCACTCTTTCACGTCTAATGCACGTCGCTGTAGCTAACCACAACCCGAACATATCTGACATCAAAGAATTAGTGACCTTACTACGCGTGGTTGGAATTTCAACATGTGGTTTTCCCTCACATACGGACAACTGAACTCGCAATCCTCATCGTTCAAACTACAACACCAAAGACTGTTTTGTAACAAAAGTCTTTAAATCATTCCTTGCTGAATGTGGTTTCATATGTGTAACTCGATGGAGTAGCTAATCATACGTGTACTATTGAGCTTATAAACAAAACGTTTCCATTTTTGATGATGCTGTGAAGCTACATGTAAAAAAACTGGGTCTACAGTACTAAATATTATAGGAAATAGAGTTTGGAAAGCTTTTGGGAGTATCCGGGAAAGTGAGGGAGGGTAAGTGCACAGAAAAAAGGAGAAGAAATAAAAAAAAATATCGATAGCTTTTTATCATACCGTTTGACATAATTTGAGAATAGGTATTGGTGTCAGGAGCCAGTTGAGAGGCCGCGTCATTCCTTCCTCCTTCGTGAGTACACAGGAATAGAAGAAAAAGAGAAAGAAGGCAGTTGTGAAGGAAAGAAGTTCGGAAAGGCGACTACGAGTCGTGAGTATCTCGCAACGACTGAACAGGCGCCAAACGCCAGCTGCCAATCGGCCGATTTACATGTGGTGGCGAAGAATAACAGCTCTACACTGACCGTGGTGGGCCAACTAAAAGTTTTGATTATGTGGTCGACATCATGATTGTTAGTTTAATCAAACGGTGGGGAAGAATTCAATGGTTAATGACTAATGAGACTTGTCCTGGATTCTCCACATTTATGTTCACCTGCGTGGAAGCTTGATTCTGGAGAGCATCGCTGCTTAGATAGCTGCTGGGGAAGGAAGGTTCGGTTGGGGAGCACCCAAATTTTCATCTGCTTTTTGAGTGATTCGTAAAGGCACAGGGCTAAGAGTGCAGAGTGCAGAAGCCCAACTGGAAACAGTCATAGCTATGGAATGCGTCCAGCGATATTCCATAGCTGTCACTGCTTTCCAGTTGGGCGATTGATTCTGCACTCTAAGCCATACATCTACGATTTTGATCAGTACCAGCTAAAACAGCTTCATTGAATTTGTAATTTGGTTATTATTTTTACTTTTATATAAGCCTGTACTTCAGATCTGTATTAATCAAAATCACAGACAACGTCGCTGTTCTCAACAGCCAAACTGTCTGGAAACAACGCTGTTTTTGATTTTCAACCTCCTCATTTTTTGCTGGACGTTCGGTTCGCTATGAGCATTCATTCTATGCTCTCATGCCCATTTTCATTAATCATTCTCAGGCATTCGCACATTACGAAAAGGTGTTGCTTGAGGTTGTACATCTAAGCTTCGTCTACCATTTACCCCTTCTCCATAGCCATTCCACAACTGTTTTTTTTTATAACTCTGTAACCTTACAAAGTTCAAGCTCCGCCCCGGGCTCACATCTGGTCCATTATAAACGTTCCACTTCTCTTCCCTATCAACTTACTTCCAGATTTCGAAACTATATAAACAGACTTACGATTATTTACTGTGAGCACCTTCCAAACAGAAGCATGCCCTGCCCTCGGTGGGCAACGCTTCCACATTTCATGCATCTTTTTCAAACTTCTTTCCGACTTGAATCGCACTTGCTTCTTTCAGGTATCTAGGCTGCTGCAATCCGAAGAAGAATGCTTTTGCACCACCCCGCCAGATGTATATCCTACCTCCCGCATGTAGAGCTCCGATTACCTCGATGTGCCCGGCCTAATTACCTTGACATATTCTCGCCCATCACAGACATCTTATGCTTTTTCTAGGCAATGGAGAACACGGAACTTTCGTGATACAGACGCAGCGCACAGGCGCATACTTTCATAGAGAGGCGGTCGTTTGGCGCGGCCCCTCACACACACCTTGCCATTGGGGCGCACGGACTCGTTAATTGCCTCTTTGGCGCCGCCCATTCGACTCGGTTTGTGAGCTGGGCAACTCGTCCAGCTGATTCAGCCTACTGACAATGCTAGTCAGCCTACCCACTGCCCATCCTGCTGATCGATAATTAGATTAGACGCCGGATTGACCTACCTGTATCCTGTCTATTTCTACCGCAAATTTGGCTATTTTCTCGCCTTTTTTTGATTCCTGAGACTTTTGACGCCTTTTTGAAATGGATACCGCTAAGTTACAATGGAGTGACAGTATCATGGTCGTTTTGGAGCCTGATACTCACCACTTCAAAGTAATTTGCGGTACATATGTTTGGTGAATTGTTAGTACGGTGAGTGTTTTATTATTTCTTCTTTGATAAACATTTGTTTATCATAATATCTATTTTCATCATTTACTTCGTTGACATGCACATTATTAAATAGTCTTTCCAGACATACCT